GACTCTGAGACCCCTAAAGCCAAGAGTGCAGATGCATCTGCAGGCTTAAAACTACACACGTACCTCTCATTTTATGTATCTCTGATGACCAAGGGTTCTGATGACCTTATGACATACTTATTCATCACTTACAAATTTTTAGGAAGAAATTCACTTGCCTCTTGTCATTGGTTTGATTGTGTGTTTTTGGTAGGACTTTTTTTTTTTTTTTTTTTTTTTTTTTTGGGCAGAACTGGGGATTGAATCAGGCTCTTGCCCTTGCCAGGGAAGTACCTATTCTACTAAGCCATCTCCCTGGCCCTGGTAGGTCTTCTTAATTCTTCATATGTATTCAAAATAGTTTGGATAGTCCCTTCCAGAAATATGCATTGCATATGGTTTTTCCAAGGTAGAGCCACAAGATTTTAATTTTGATCAAATTCAATGTATCCTTTTTTTCTTTTCATATTAATACTTTTTTTGTGTTCTAAGACATCTTTGCCCATTCCAAAGCTGGAAAGAGAATTCTGCTTTATCAGAAACGTTATAATTTTAGCTTTCAAATTTGTGTCGGTGATTTATCTCAATAAACACTTGTGGGCTAGGGGGATAGCTCAGTGGTCTAAGCGCCTGCCTGGCAAGCACAAAGACTCAGGTTCAATCCCCAGTAGCACATCCCCTGCAGGCCACCAGGCGTGCTGTGGTGGTACACGCCTATAATCCCAGTGCTGGGCAGGCTGAGACAGGAGGATCCCTATGAGTTTGAGCTGTGTAGGAAGACCCTGTACCAAATAAATAAAAGAAAAAAATTTTCAAAAATACTTTTATGATTTATTTTTCATATTCTAATAAAATGCTTGCATTAATCATTAAAGATTTTTCCCCACATTAGGTTTCCCAGCTTTCTGTTAAAAAATTCTTCAAGCTGTGCCAGTCCCGCGCCCAGGGCGCACTGAGCCAGCAACCGAGTCCAGATGTGGTGGTGCATGCCTGTAATCCCAGTGCGAGGGAGGCTGAAAACAGGAGCACTAAGAGTCTGAGCTGTGTAGTGAGACCCTGTACCAAATACATAAATGAAAAAAGAAAGTATTTGACTGTGTATGTTCACAGCGTTTTCTAGGCCACTGTGTCCACTTGATTTATCACTTTAACCCCGAGATCTTCTGCTTACTCCATGTGATAACATTCCCGCGTCGTGTTCGTTTAATTTGTTCTTTTGCAATACCATCCTGGCTATTTTCAAGACTTTGTGTTTTGGTGTAAATTTTAGGGCCAGACTGTCCCCGTTTTTTTGTACTGGGGATCTAACTCAGGACATTGTGCTTGCCAGGCAGGCACTTAAACCACTGAGCTGTCTCCCAGCCCTGGACTGTCATTTTTTGTAAAAAAACACCAGCATTATGATTGAGATGAGACTGACTCTGCGGTTCAGTTTATGGGAATAGATAGGCTAGCAGCACTGTCTTCTAAAACATGAACAAGGTATATCTG